GATTAAGTTGTCTGAGATTACAGCGCGTTCTTGTGTTCATTGGAAAGGGCAGATATATCGATACTCGAAACCATGATCAGCAATGCAGCGATTGGCTGGCGGCAAGACATATTAAAAAAAGAACATCACACACCTGACAGAAAAATGTCTGGACCTTCATAAAGAAGCAGCCAAGCAACCAAAGCGACATCAAAGTTATAACAGATAAGTAAAATGTGTACTGTTTGTTTACTAAATGATTCCCAATTATTTCCATTATTTCACGATTTCTAGTATTTACAGGCTTTACATTTTTATTGTAATGTTGTAATTAGCAATTCATTTAATTTTACCTGTGAAGCAGATTTGTTGTGACAGCATTCATTAAAGCTTGACAGTACAGCAGACAGCAGTTTTTTACTAATTTATCTGCATCTCCTGTGCTGCACTTAAAAAGATGCAATCTAATCCTGTTTACATGATATAAGCCTGCCGCTTCACGAGCAGGTTTGAGTTTACGGACTTGTTGCTATGACAGAAACTCCGGGATGAGCTTTGAAGAACCTAACAATGCTGGATCATGTCAAATCGTCAACAGTAAAATTAAGATAACTGAATAATCCACGTACGAGAGCAGATTCCCCAGATCTCAATCCAATTGAGCATGTGTGGGATGTGCTGGATCAACAAGTTCGATCCACACCTCGCAACCTACAGGACTTGAAGGATCTGCTGAAAACGTCTTGGTGCCAGATACCACAGGACAATTTTCAGGTGTCTTGTAGAGTCCATGCCTCAGCTAGTCGGTGCTGTTTTGGAAGTACGTAGAGGACCAACAGCATATTAGGCATAGGCCATAATGTTTTGGCTCATCGGTATAGAAGACAGTTCCATCGAAAAGCACATTATAATTAAGATGTCAAAAACAAACTAGCTCACAAGTAATAATCTTTTCACCTGCTGGCAAAACTCTTTGACAGAGCGACCGCCCTCTATGAAGTGCTGAAAGAACACGTGCTCCCGCTGCAGGTACCCAGAGGTGAGAAGCCTCAGGTAAACCACTATGTAGTCAGACACGCTCTGGTCATTGAAGGAGTTAAGCAGCTCTCCAAGTGATTGCTGCTTTTCACACAGCTCAATCAAGTCCATGAACTGACAAAGGAGAGAAACCACAGTGAGCATCCACTTACTACAGTAAGCATGATTCAAGTAAAATGACAGGATTTAAGCCTTGAGTTTTGAATATAAGGCGGCAACATAGTTTTTAAATGATACATTTTCCAACTCACAGTGTTGTGAAAGTCCTCAATAGTGAACTCAGTGAAGCCCTGATTTACAAGGTCCAGTTTGCTCTTAGCTGCCACAGCTTTGAACCTATAGTGCCAAAAATGAGATAGGATTGATAAATAGACATTCAATAAACTGGTTATCCACTGCTAAAACAAAGACAGAAAGCAAAACAATATACACAATTAGGGGTGGGCGATCTGACGATTTTATATTATGATCGATCTTGAAGACGTCCACAATCTACTTTTCAAAAGAATAGTAGAGATCGTGGTCTTTTATGTCCTCGTAATGTTAAAATACAGCAATGACTGCCTACTATATGGTTGTGCTGACTGGCCAAAGTATATCATGTGTCTTTCATGCGTGGTGATGCAGTTGAAAAACAGCAGTAGGGCTGTGTGATGAATCAAGTTCCAACGATTATGAAAACGTGATAATCTTGTTAAAATGATCATTGTGCCGCATGCTGTTTCTTTCTTTCAAGTTTAACTCATGGTTTAACGACTATTTTGACAACTGATTGTTGAATGCAATACTGTGTTTTAAATTATGCAATTACATAAGTCCATAGGCTTGTTCCAGTCTGGATATTCTCAACAGTACATCTCAAAATTGAGAAGATTGCGATTCAGATCGTGTTATTTTGGGAAGATCGCCCACCCCTATACACACAATATACGAAATTGCACTTCACGTAACTAAGGTTGCTGCTATCTCCTGAATTGGTGTATAATTTCCAAACAAAAGCAATGATATCTGCTTTAAGCAACCCAGGAAACAGTAAAACTACCTTTGCAGCTCTTTGCTGTCTTCCAGTAGTGTCTCCAAATGTGCAAATCCAAAAGCTCTGTAGAAACAATTTCCATCCGGCCGTGTCTTCCGAATGCGCGCATACTTTTTGTGAAGGTCCTATGAACAAGACGCATGTAAGAGAAACATTTATACAGAAGGTTTCGGTACTTGCTAAGTAAGCTCATGAAACTGTAGTGACCTTTATCTTGAGCTGGTAAATGGTGTCCTCTGCAGCATATTCACCCTTAAGCACAGAGAGATCTTGTATGTCCGACACTAAAGGGTTAGTGGTGGCTATCTATTAAAACAAAACACACACAATAAGAGGGATAGTTCATTTACTCACCCTCATATTGTTCCAAACATGTGTGACTTTCTTTCTTCAGTGGCATACAGAGCAGCTCTGCTCTTTTCCACACAATGAATGTGAATAGGGAAAGATGCTGTCAATCTCTACAAAAGCAATTCATATGACTTTTATGCTAGACGTCTGAAGGGCAGTTCACACCAAGAATGATAAAGTTTTTTTTTTTTTTTTTACTTTAAAGAGAATAACGCAGTCCAGACCACAACTATAACAACAATCACAGAGAAACGATAGGATTTTTTTCCCAGCTGATGAACGATAAAACCATTTTACAGGCAATTAGAATCCTATAACTTTAAAGCTGCAGTCCGGCATTTTTCCTCTTTGTCGCCATCTCTGTTCGAAATCTGCAATTGCAGTCATTCGCGGAATTATCAACTTTACGTGGGTTGTAGTTCAACACCCTCGACACGGCACAGCGCGGATGAACACAGTGTTTGAGGAGAGTGTGCAGCTGTCAGTCACCGCGCCGATGTGGATATTGTCATTCAGAATCACAGATTATTCTTTTTGGAAGTATGACCAACATAAGAATTTTCACGGGGAAATGTCATCTGAACTAGTAAGAAACATTCACTTTTGTTCTGGTTCTGACATTGCAGTAAATCGCGCTGATTAAATCTAACAATTGCTTATAAGTTATCATTTCACGCAAAACCGTGCAAAGTAGCTATACTATGTTCTCTAATTGTTAATGTTAACAACGTCAGCAAGCATTGCGTGACTACATCATGTGATGTCCTTCCGATATTATCCTTGTTTTCGCATGGGTCCGGTTGCAGTCTCTTTTTTTCTGTAGCCACTCCGAAGTCCGAACGAAGTCTTTTGCATGTTACAGCGGGTGAGTCTCTAGTTGTCACTGATGATGATCGTCGTTTGAACCTTTCTGGATCCGCCATCAAATTGATAAGTTTAATTATATCAAGTGCTGTGAGAAAAGGCTATAAATCTCTACCTCCAACATCCTCACACGCAATATAGCTTATACTAGCCGAGACTCCTTCTTTATGTGTACAGATGTGACGTAATGACGCAAAGACATGCTCGAATCTCCCGCGGAAATCCACCAGTACCACTAAAATTAAAAACATTATTACAAGCTTACCGTTTTGCATCGAGCTAAGGCAAGCAGATAGTTTTGAACACTGGCTGGTTATGTATTTTATCAAATATGTATTTTGGATAATTTTTAACCCAAAAAAAGCTACGGACAGCAGCTTTAAAGAGCTTGAGCACTTAAAGCAGCAGACAACATAACTGCAGCATGCTTAGAATAAACAGAACATTATTGTCAGTTGGTGTGTTATAGTTATCATTTTTCGTGTAAACAGGCCTTCAGGCAATTCCATTTGATGATGTTAATGACAGAAATGACATGCTTAAAGGTGCTCTAAGCGATGTCACACGTTTTTTAGGCTAAAACATGTCACATACAGCGAACATCTCCTCACTATCCGCTAGCTGGCAGTGGCCAATATGGTACAGGTTCAGAAGACTATACAGCATACATATTGTATAGATTACTTTCAGCCAGGGGATTTTAATTTTGGAGTGTGACATCTCTTTAATTGTAGAATAAAAAATAAAGAAAAAGAAAAGGACGGGGTTGAGAAGAGAGTGGATACATCTTGAGACCAACTCTTCGTTGTTGAAAAAAAAGGATATTTTGACAACAATTACCATTACAAGGTTTCTTTTAAATGAGACATTTAGTCATTACTCTGATCCCTCACCTCTTGCTGAATGCGGTCCTGTTGTGCCATTATGGCTTCGTCATGTGCGAGGCAGTTCACTCCTGCAAAAAAGATAAGTCATAAAAGATTTAGAAACATGCCATGCACACAAGAACTGGACCTGACCCAGTTGACAGTTGCTAATGCTGGAGTTCAGTTCTTTCACCTTGCTGATTCTCATGTCATTACACGATCCGACATGTAAAAAGGTCAGTAAATCAGTATCCTAAACGTCCGTAACAGTTACCATACACCAACAATACAAATACATATACCACTTACCGCTTAATACACTGAGTGAATATTAAGAGAATATTATAGTCTACTACAGCTGATTGGCAAATAGGGCTCCTATTCAATTTTTAGTTTAAAAAAAAGCGTAAAATAAAATATTTTCCTAACGAAAATTTGACACTGTGCAAAAAAATGTTAGGAAGGCTGTTTTTGTTGTTGTTGTTAAATGAGCCCAGTTAACTCTTTGTGCAGCTAATGCTCCTGCTCTGCATTCCTCCTCCTGCTCGTGCAGCAGTCAAAACATATTCTTTGCCCTAATGCAAGCTCCATCGTGCAGATGTTTTGTTTTCGCGTGACACTAATCTTTAAAACTGCGCGAGGAAATGTTATTTTTGCACTTACCCTCCATCTCTACCTTTGATGATTCCTGGTGCTCATCCGCCATCTTGATCGAGTTCTTCTTCCACCGCCCCCTCTCGCATGTACACTTCCGGGTCGTGTCATTCAGTTCAGTCAAAGCCCGTCTACGGGACATATTAGACATTCTCTGGTTCAGTTCAGTCAGTCATAGAATCACACATGCTGCCGGTGTTTTGGTTTAAGCTGGGTATTTAAAATGATGTCATTTAAAAGGCTTGCAGTGTCGCTAAGCACCCTTCAAAAGCTGTCGGAGGCTTACAGATGGCACCATACTAGTTTGACAAGTACGTGTATTTTATTTGTCAAGAGTTTTACTTGGGTCTAGAGATTCAATTTGATTGGTACTTTTGGGGAAATAGATTTCCGTGTAATTACCATAGGTAAGTGCACGATTAGAAAATACTTGTATTTAACGTCCACATGCGTCTGCACAAATCGGAATAGCAACTTTAATTACCATTTCCAAACAAGTTTCTAAACAGCTGTCTGCCACAAATTAAGGGCCCCGTGGTCTGATTGCTGTTTCAGTCATATTTGCCATGTAGTAGTTTCGGTTATTCGCTTGCATCATCTTTAAAAATACTTGTGAGTTAAAGGGTAAAAATATGTATTTTTATTCTTTACGCTAATTATGTATAACTGGTGTTCACAGATGAGTTGATTGAAACCATGGACAAAAAAGCAACATGGGACAGATTCTACACAGAAAAAGGAAGCAAAGGCCAATTCAAGAATTTTGAATGGTTCTTCGGATTTCACTCAGTTAAGGACTTCATTCTTCCTGTACTTGGGACCATGTCTCATTCCCACCGTGGCCCATTCAACATCCTGGACATGGGTTGTGGCACATCCGCATTAGGACCCTGTATCTACAGAGCGTCTCCGTGTGCTGTAAAGGTTACTTGTGCTGATATCTCCCCGGTGGCAGTGAGACTTATGGAGAAGCACACTAATTCTGCTTCAGTACAACCATGCAACCCATCCTCTGCTCTTGCTTTCCTGGAACTTGACTGCACACAGTTGAGAGGACACTTTGGGACCAGAAGCCTGGACATGATATTGGACAAGGGTACTACTGATGCTTTAGTTAGGTCTACAGAAGGTAAAGCTAAGGCTGGACAGATAGTGAGGCAATGCTTACAGGTGCTGAAGCCCTCAGGGATTCTCTTACAGTTCTCAGATGAGGATCCTGATGCCAGGCTTGTATGGCTAGAAAGACAAGTTAGAGGAGCAGAACTGACAGCTGATGTAGGATTTCGAGAGGTGGGAGAATTGAGAGGGGTCAGTTATTTTTGCTATGAGATTTCTCCTTGTACACCCCACTCTTAAAAGACAATGCATTCAAATTTCTCTGCCTTCTAAAAGGGTTTCTAAGTGACAAAACAGTCTGTCTAACAATACTGAACACTGATAATATAAATATATATATATGTAAATGTAAAAGTCTGTTTACATTCTTTGCATCAGATGAAGACAAATCTATTTCACACTTTTGTAAAAAAACTGATTTTTTTTTTATTAAAAAAAAAAGAATTTGTCAAACATTCTGTGGTCCTTATTTTTCACCAATGTGGGAAATTACTTTAAGAATCATAACATTGAATGAAACCAGCATAATTTAAAACAAAATATGAATAAGGAGAATTTAGTGCATAGTTAACGTACACCCTCCCAAAAAAAAAAAAAAAAAGGAGAAAAACAAGGGGTGTATTATGGCCATACACAATGAGATATCGTCTCGATGGATTTAATATCTGTAAGGATGTAGTCTCTCTCGTGTACTTGGTTTTCGGTGTTTCTGCTTCATGACTAAGTTGTTCACTGGCCAGTTGGGGAAAGCAGCTGAATTGTTAGCACCTAAAAAACATAATCAGCCTTTTTTAGCAATATTATATTAATATTAAATCATGATGATTTGAGAAAATAATAAAACCTGTACCTCTGTAAAAGGTTTCCCTTTCAAAGCTCTGGTAACCTGCAGTCATGTGGGGTGGCAGATCATCATGGCAGTACTGTGATCTGAAGCCATTGACCATCCTTTGACCCGGCGTCCAGACTGGACCTGGAAGATGAGAATAAAAACGGTCCCTTTTAGAAAGCACTGGAGGATATTGTAGTTTTTAGGCATGTTTGGTTTTATTAATATTAACAAAAGCAAACATGACTAAAAACTACAATATCCCCAGTGCTTTCTAAAAGTTGTACAATTAGTGGTTCAAAATGAGCCATTATGAGGATTAGAGTTCTCAACGGGTCGGGTCGGCCCGACAAACCCGACGGGACCCGCGGGTTCGGGTCGAAAATATTTGCAAATGACTCGGGTCGGGTCGGACCTCGGGCTTAATCTTTTGAATTGTACAGTGAAAGAAAAAAAAACATTTATTATTCATCGCTGCTGTTCACTGTAAAGAAAGTCTGGCTGCTGCGTGCAACGTGCATCGCGACGCGAGGGCAGACCTGACGCCGCTGCGTGCACGCCTTTAGCCCGGAGAAGAAGATGGAGTTGGTGAAAAGTAAACTTGCTGCAGGTGAAATCACCGTTGCTCAGGGGCGGCGCGTTGTGTGATTATCTCGGCAGTTTAGGACATCGCACAAGATTTGCGTCAATACAGAAAACATTTAATCACTGGATAGTTTTTTTCGTTTATTGAAATGTGGTTTATGTCAGCTGGATGGGCGGAATGTGTGAGACGTGAGAGTGCGCGCGCACTCTCACATAGTCATAGAATACATTCTATTCTACATACATCACTCACCGATCAAAAGGGTGGCGTCGGGCCGCGGGTCGGGTTCGGGCAGATAATTCATGTTGATGTGTCGGGTTACATCGGGTCCGGGCTTTAAAAGCCACGGGCCGGGTCGGGTCGGGTTGTAATTTTCAGGCCCGTTGAGAACTCTAATGAGGATTATTACGTTGGTTGAGTGAATTTTCTCAAGAGTGGTTGATTGTTACCATTGTTGTAGTGGATGGCGGGCATCATGGGTGGATTAAAGCACCTCTGGTTCCTATACGGACCTGTTAAAAAAAGGCAAGTTTTGAATTACTTGGAGAGGGGGAAAAAAGGAATCTATGTGAACTTATACTATCATTTAAAAGTTTGGGGTTGGTAAGGTTTTTAAAATGTTTTTAAAGGTGACCTATAATTCAAAATTGAATTTACCTTGGTATAGTCAAATAACAAGAGTTCAGTGCATGGACATGACATAGAGTGAATCTCAAACTGGACTGTTTTCGCGTTCTCATTTAATTCACGTTTATGAAAAACACCCCTGAAAAACGGTCGGTTCTCCACACAATACCGACTGTGACGCAATAGTCGGGATCATTAATATGTACGCCTCCAAATATTTGCATAATGCCAGCCCTCAATGCCAGGCGGAACTGCGCAGCCGAAGCATGGCAGTTGCTCAGTGTGGATGTACACATGAACACAAAAGTATTTTTTAGTTCCTTCATCTGAGCCTCTGAAGAAACAATGGGTTAATTTTATTTTCTCTGGAATTTTTCAAACATTTCACCGACTGTTTCCTCAACTTGGGCCAATACAGAGCTGGCCTCGGATTGAGCTACCAAGCAACACTTTCTGATGTGTAATTGTTCAAGTTCAGACAGGTAATCTTTCTCTCAAAATCGTTCAATACTGTTTATGCATCAGTAAGTCAAGCCAGTGACTAAAATATCAGCTTCACATCGTTTCTTTTAGTAGGATGAAAATAATCGTATTTAAATTGTGAACAAATTATATACAGAAAGCGATCAAAGAACAATCTTTCCACACAGCGCGAGTTTATCTGGACACTTGCCAAACTCGTTATCTAATCAATGACGCACGTTACTGCACAACGAAGCTCTTACTGTATTTACATCATCGTGTTTGCATTGGTGAAAGCAGAGAGAGTGCAGAAACTGCTTTGCAATGATAAGATCTTCATTCTCGCGATCAACACACTGTCATCTGCTCAATGCTCATCACGGCAACATTTTATGTGATGGGAATAGATCTAAATACTTTAAAAACATCTCACGATTCGTTAATCTCGATAGCTGTTATAGTAAAAACGTATAATAGCAGTAGTAAAAGTATTCGGGAGAGAGTTTCACATGTAATATGTAGCTATTTCATATGCAAGCATGTCAGCCAATCACAGCAGTGGCCGCGGTTACACTGAATCCCACAGCAGACACGCCCCTTCAAACAGAGTGTTCAAATCAGAGGCTAAAAGCAGGCTAGGAAAAATGCCATTTATTTCTAAATTATGATTATTTTTTATCTAAAAAACATACTAACATTATAAGGGTAACCCAGGAAACATTATAAAATAATTAAAAAAAACATTCTAGGGCACCTTTAAAGTCTCTTACACTCACCAAGATTGCATTTATTAGCTCAAAAATAGAATAAAAATAGTAATATTGTGAAAAATGTTTCAATTACATATTAGCCAACATGTTAGTCATAAAAATGTGCAAAGAAAGAAGCTTCTTTGCACATTTTTAACCCCACATGAATCGACTATAGGTAAGACTTGACGATGTGACCGGTCCTAGTATAGGTCATAAACCCTGCCTCCCCGTGTTATTCAACGGGATGTGAGACCAACTAAACAATTAATTACACTTCACACATCTTTTTTCCAAAGATAGTTTCTGTCATTTACTGTAGTTTCTATCACATTGATGTAATTTCAAGTGTTTGTTTTTAAAATAAGTTTGTTTTTAGTTAGTTATTTGATGCTATAAAAACGGTGCTGTGACATCATGATTAACAGGTTCTCTGTGCGAAGTAGTCACTGAAGCACCAACTGACTTTTTTTCATAATGTTGACTATGTGGTTGGTAATTGTACCTTATTTTAACGAGGTACTGCAATCAGCAGACATCATTGGAGAGGAACGGAGCAGACAGAGGCCACTTAAGAAAAGTGCAGGGCGTGTGCTAGTGATTGATTCAGCGAGAGTGAGGGCGGGGCCTTGATTTCACGGCTTTACTTCCTGCTCACGACAGCGCATGTCTGGTCCCGAAAACGCTACTGCGCAGACTCAAGTCCCAAGATGTCAGCTCCATATCGGGACACTGGCGGCTTCAGGTCTCTCCAATGGAAAAGAGCGAAGGGGCGTCGTCCATCTTTTTTTTACAGTCTATGGATTCGACTATGAAAATCCTTAGTCTGGGACACCCCTAAACCCATAAGACTTTTGTTCATCTTCGAAACACAAATAAAGTTGAGAGCTTTCGGTCCCTACATAGACAGCTACGCAACTGACATTTTGACAATCTATATAATGAACAGATTGAGTTTAGGCTTTTATTCACATATAAACATTCATCAACTCACACATCAGTTGTGGTAAACGGGAGCTCAAGCATGTTCGCTTGACGTGCAAGAACCAATAAGGTTCATTCTCATGTTACGCAGCACGTTTGAGCCTTAGTAAGAACCAATGAGGCTCATTCTTGTGTGTTACGCAGCACGTTTGAGCTTCCGCTTTCCCGAAGTTTGTTCTCGCGTGTCAAGCAGGTTCAGATGAGCTTCTGTTTATGTTCGCTGATCAAAGTTTATGTGAATAAAAGAATAAATTCAATCTGTTCATCATATAAAGCGATCGAGTCTCTTCAGAAAGTTTGGACTAAACCGCACGTTTCATAGGGATTAGTTATACAATCTCTTTATGAACTTTTTGAAGTATAAAAGTGTCAGTTGCATAGCGGTCTATGGAGAGACAGAAAGCTCTCAGATTTCATCAAAAATATCTTCATTTGTGTTCCTCGTGTTTGGAACGACATGAGGGCGAGTAATTAATGACAGAACTTTCATTTTTGGGTGAACTATCCCTTTAAATTATACCCATGACTCTACTGCGGTATCACCACTTACAGTATGGGATTGTGCAAAAGCATATTTCAGAGGTGGGACCATTTCATTCACAAGTGCCAAGAAGAGAGAGAGGGTAGCTAAACAACAAGAATGAGAACACCAAGCAATCTTAGGCCCCATCCACACTACTGCGTTTTAGTTTAGAAACGGATAATTAAAGCGAATACGATCTCAGTCCACACCAGCGTTTTAGCTGCGTATTAGAATTGATCACCGTCCACATTAAAACGACTGAAAACGCGGATCACGTGACCATTCACCAACACTGGGCATGCGCGTGCCGGTGTAAACACAACTTCATTGATAAAATTATCCCACCATGCTCTGGGTTAACCCCAAACCGACGCTCCATGTACGGTCAACGCCGCCGCTGCACACGGGAATGGTCACAGATCGCTCGAATAATAGCTTGACTCCGGCGCATGTAGGCAGTTATAGCGTTGTAAAATGCAGAATTTACTTGTACAACAGCTGCTAGCAAAGATATACGCCATAACTGATGACACCCAATCATAGAGCCGAGCGTGAGCCTCTATTACGTCATCGTTTCTAAAGTCCTCCGTTTTGACCCGTCTACACTAAAACGCCCTCCGGAGATTCAAAACGAAAAACGGATCGGCAGCGTTTCTAAACTTCTCCGTTTTGGGTTTCCGTTTTTGCCGTTTTAGTCTGGACGGGAGGTGCAAACGTAGCAAAAGGTCTCCGGTTTTAAACGAAAACGCAGTAGTGTGGACGGGGCCTAAGGTTTAACCAAAGATATGAAAATGGCTATACGGCTAGTAGATTGTTAGTTACTAGATTCTTTTTTTTGTACAATATTTGAAGATCTTTGCTTCTTAATCTAAGTACGATCAACCTGATGAAATGGCACAATCCTGCTAGTCCAGGACCTGATGGATATATAAATGAGTTTTATAAATTTTTTAATTAACTATGGGAGAATGATGGGAGATGTCATCTTCACCCCCTTACTGCCGATGGAAATCAATCTAACGGGACTTACAAATTAGCTTCGTGGATGAGACAATTAAATAAAGCTTTATAACCAAGAAGTTTGATCACATGATATTATTTAATTAGCCACAAGTAACAATGTTTAATGCTAAATTAGGCTACTACCTCGTAACATGTCACTTTACTTGTCAATTTAAATGGTGGGGTAACGCAGCTCAGTTTTACGTGTTCAAAACAATTATACTAAAAGTACATTTGAACATATAAAGTGAATATGGATCAAACTGAGGCTATAGATATCAATGGTTAAATCTCAAAACAAATCCAAATTAAAAGCAGGTTTAAATGGGCCAAGAATGGGTTGAAGTACTTTGGTATCTTTATCCCCTCCTCAGACCAATTACACAATACAAAATAAAAATTTGAAGAACTATACATAAATCATTTAGCATGTCTAAGAAAATTTCATCTGCAGCTAGTATGGGTTATCTTAATGACTTTGTACCATCCCATTCAGACCCAGGTTTTAAAAAGTGGTCTTAATATGGACTTAGCCATCTGCATCAAATATTCCACAATGATGCACTTGAATAATTTAAACACATAAGAAATGAATCCACACTCCCAAGGTCTAAACATTTAGATATTCACAACCGAGACATTTCCTCACAACACATAAGGAATAAGAATGTTAAAAAACCCTCACTAATAAATGTTTTTTTTTTTTTTTTTAAAGAAATACAAACTGGACAGGATCAAAAAGACCATTTCTAAAGGATACCTGTTATTTTCATCTAATAATTCAAATAACACTTTACAGGTAAAGGAGAAATGGGAGGCCGAAATTAACAGAACGATTTCTTTCGAAACTTGGCAGGAAGCTTGTGGAGAGGAACATCTTGTGACCAGCTCTAATATCTGAAGGGACTAGGGAGTTCAAATGGAAGATAATACTTTTTTTTTTTTAAACTTCACAGATAATATCAAAATGGCATCCTGTTCAGACAAATGTTGGAGAAACTGTGGACAGTATCAGGGAACTACACTAACATTTTCCACTGGTGGCACTTGCGCTACTTACTTTTTCAGTTACTAGCGCAAAACATGATTTGGTCGCACAAATTATTTATAGTAAGCTACTCTGGATAATAATGACCAATAATGAAACTGTATTGCATACAGATGTGCTTTTTATTTTACTTGCCATCTTTTAAACCAAATGCCTTCTTGTTTTCTTTAAAATTGGTTGGGATAGATTTACTGCAATAGAAAATACAGTAGGCCTACACAATAAAGTGCTAAATGAATTTCTTTTGGATTTCAACATGCTATTGCAGGCACAGATGGGTAGACTTCTGAACTCTTAAGGAAAAATAAAATAAATATAATCCACTTCGCGTGCTTCATACTGTCATAGTGAAGCTTCAATGATTTGTGTTTGAATTGTTTTGACGCAGTTACAAATTTGGACAGTCCTGAAGGCCCACAGAATTTACAGTAGGGCTGCACGATATTGGTAAAAAATGACATTGCGATATTTGATTTTTCTGTGATATATATTGCGATATAAAAACAATTTCAAACAAAAAGCTCTATTTGGAAAGAATGAATCATTCTAGAATGACTGGGGTGGTTTTGTCATGGAGTAAATCCACATAGAAACTAATATTAATAGAATGTTTTAATGTAGTTAACTAGACTTTAATAAATGGAACCTTATTGTAAAGTGTTTCTGATTTATGTCTCTTGAGTTCAGTGTTGGACAGATCAGTTGTTTTAACCATTCATTAAAGTGAATCGGTTCAAAGGAGTCATATTAGTTCGCGAATCGGACGTGTCATTAACGGACCACGGCACACGTTGTGTGATTATCCAGGCAGTTTAGGACATCGCACAACATTTGTCTCACTCTCAACACAGAAAACATTTCATCACTAGATAGATTTTTTTGTTTTGTTTATTGAAAGTGTGGTTTATGTCATATTTGTGTGGAAAGCTTTTCAGAGAAGATGAGGCAACGTTATTTTAGCACAATTCACAACCAGTGGTAGTTCAGGAAAAAAATACCATCGTGTATTCTCAAAGATATTCAGTCAACTCAATTCATTAATATGAGCGAGGGCGGGAGAGAGAGCAAGACAGTGTGAAGACGGCGAGAGAGTGCGCGCGCGCGGCTTTCACTCTCTCTCGTTCTCTCAGTTAAACAAGCGCGAAGCCAACTTGATGTGTTGAATGCTCAGAGAACGTTATAAAACGTATTCTTAAAATACACATTTCTGTTTTAATAAATGCTCATAGTAAATCATAGCATATTGCCTAAAACATATAGGTACAAAAATAATCAAACGGTGATACATTTGCGACCCATTAAAAATTAGGGTCGCAATGGCATTTCAAAAGGTCGCATATGCGACCATTTTGGTCGCAGTGTAGTTCCCTGAGTATGTTGGTAACCAAACCCATATTTTGTGGTCGTCCAAAATTATGACATTATTGGAAGGATGGATTTACGCATCAATATTCACTAAACAAAAGTAATACAAATTTACAGAGCCCAAACTTTTGCTTGATAATGTACCTGGATGGCGAGCAGGAGCACTTGAAGTAGCCGTTTGCCAGCTATGGTTCTCAGGTAATGGTGGGCGATTATCTGCATTAATCTGGTCTGCAAAAAAGCAAAGCAAAAAAGAACAAACATAAATGGGTGACTAAATGTTCCATGTATCCTTAAGTAAGCCATTAACTAAAAATGTTTGGCTGGTATGGATCAATATATTTCACTTTCAAAATTATAGAAACTTATTTTGCAGCTTTAAACCTCAGATAACCAATGACACCAACTCAATCTGCATTTCTCACCCAGTTTTGGCAGTTCCACACCCCATGCCTGTGCAACATGCTCCAGGAGCAGGCATGTGATCTTTCTGTGGGCGACGGCATTCCAGTGTACACCGTCTTTCATCCGGTGTTGCAGACTGAAGCGAAACTGGAAGTGCAAGTCCAGCACATCAAAGCCGAACTTGTTGGCAAGAGTGGCTCCAAAGTAATTGGCTTCAATCACATCAAATCTTAATGAAGGACCCATATGTTCAATCTGAGTTTGTGGACAAGATAAAAAAAAAGGATTATTGACTCTCACCACTGTTCATGATGTTTCATCCCCTACCATTATTTTTTTGTAACCCACCTCTGGGACCAGGAAACCTCCCAAAATCTTCTTTCCCAGGGGCATAGTCATGTTCCACACAACCAGGCTCTCTTCTGGCAAAATGGTCTTTAGCTTCATGAAGAACTTGTTGAGGTTTTCTTTGTACTCCAAGGCCCATTCACGGCTGTACCTGTGCAGTATAGTAAAACAAAAATCATGTTAATTTAAAAATAATTATGAAATGTTAAATATCTTATGTCTGTAACAAGATGTAATGACGAGCACTCCTACCTGGATATGTCCCATACACAAGAGTTGATGATAACCAGGTCTGGTTTTATGCCCTTTTCAAAGTCAGCTAGGATGCTCTCCACATATCTTGAGAAAACTCGAGTCACAAAATAGAAGCGGATCAAGTGGTGATCTGTGCAGTACTGTCTCACTTCTCTATACGCAGTGCCGTTATTCATCTGGCCCAACCGGCCACCTTCCACCAGGCAATCCTGTTCGAACGAAAACTCACCCTAGGATATATGGATAAGATAGATGGGTCATCAGACATTGCTTAACCAGTTATCTCTATACAAGATATTAATTTCCTTCACATACACAGCAGCTTCATTTGCTCCCATTTATTGATTACATGGAAGAAAAAATATCCTATGGACATGCTACCTGTTTTTTAGCTGGTCATTGGATTGTCAACAAGCTACTATGTCCCAAAAACAAGCTTGACAACCTTAAAGTGACCTGGAACTGTAGCTGGTCTAAAATGGCCTACCAGTTTACACCAGCTAAAAACAGCTGCCATATTGGGTACCAAATATAGTCTCTTAATCTGGATTTTACAACAAAATAATTAAGCTAAATTTAAAAGATTCAATGTTTGAACGTGTAAATTTTATGATTAAAAGGAGACAATTCATGAAACATGCATTCAGATACTGACCTTGCTTTTTAACTGGGACAAACTTAAATATGCGTCTCTCTGTAGGATTAGGACTAAATCCTTGTAGACAGAGCGCTGAACTGGAGGGAAAATTAAGTCATTCTTGTTTTAAAAAATCAAGTGTAGTTTAGAGTGGAAAATCACGAAGGTCAATACTATCACAATATTAATCTCCATCAGTACTCACTTGAATCTCCTAACACCACAACAAATTTGTTGTGGAGCAGTTGAGCCACAGGCCTCATCGTGCCGTTCCCTGCCTCACATTGAAATCATAGTAATAAATTGAAAAGCAAAACACACGCAAACTTTGTAATAACAAATGACAATTCGATACACGTTGGGTTTGAAACGTTAACCCGGGTTTCCTTGTATCAAACACCATAAATCACCAAAACATACCTGTTAAACCAAGAATTCCGTAAAAGATGAGCGAGGATAAATTGAGTGTCGTAACTGTCAAGGGTGTGAAGAAAAGTAAGATATTGCTCCCCTTGCGGTTAATATGGGCAAACACATGCTAATTAGCTTTTTAGACTTCCTTTGGTCGGTCTAATTACAGTGATCTCTTGTCTTTAACCTATTTAAAGAGGACAACTTAAAGGGGTGGTTCAGAATTTTGGACATCGGGCCTCATTTCCAAGTTAGCCTGGGTGTTGTTTATCAGTGGAGACCGTTTTCAAAAAATTTCATCCAGTCGTTCCAGTTGCTAGCGCGACAACGGTAACTGCTAGCCTGCCATTAAAAACAGTTTTACCCACTCCACAGTACACCAAAAGCAAATAAATTATAACGCCAGACTATCGATATAAATGTCTGTTAAGAAGAGAATAATGTTACAAATCAAACTACCCTTTCATCGCATTGCAATAGTTATACTTTGTTCCCTGTATTATATGTCCAAAATTCTGAACCACCCATTACAGCAAACATAAAGTACACTTTATAGAAAACATAACTCACAGTAAACTAATACTGTACTCATATATACTTGCGTTTTGTTATTAAAAAAAGTAATATATTTAGATTCAATTCCAAATATTTTAGAATAGTGGCACCATGATAAAAAAGTAGAGAAATTACACAAATGGTAAAATGGGTACACATATGTAAAAAGTATAGTTAACAACAGACCTAACCAAAATGTTTTTGAGTACAACTAAATATTTCCTTTTTGAATGAACTTTTTTATCCCTTTTATTGTTTACTTATTGTCTGTTCATTCCAATTTCATCAACACTTTAGGCTATACATTTCTAAACTTAATTTGTGAAATCTTTGCACATAATTCTCATACAAAAAGGCAGAAACAATTCATTGTCAATTACAGTATATATTCATATTATAAAGCACTTCTCATGTTACTGGCTATGTGGTATTTCTCATTTGTAAATCACGCTGGATTGAAGTATCTGCTAAATAAATAGGCTATATGTTGGCTACATTTAAACAACCTGAACATTCATACAATCAATTTACAAATCCACCTATACTTACAATTTACAATTGAAGTACAATCAAACAGCCATATAATGTCACCAGTCACATACAATACCAATCTGAAGTTCATGTAAAGTGCTTACTGAGGTTTATTCACAATATTATTGCTTGGTCTGTAAAAGACCTCTAACCCTCAAGGCCAAACAGCATCACGTATTTCTTTAGTCGATCTATCACAAATTCATCATTGCGAGGCAGATTCTTCTTCACTGATTCTTTAAAACCCCAATGTCTCAACAACCAAACTCGCCATTCACACCTGTCGTTCACTTTAAGTCTCGTCCAACGAATGGGATCTCTATTCACAGTGTTGCTCATTAAATGCTTTAGCTTCCTGAACTCAACACATTTAAGATCCTCCATAATTTCACCAAGATCAGTTATCCGTTTTTTTTCCCCTACAAATAGATAAATAATTATCAGGTGTTAAAATGTTTTAAAATGAGAAATTCAAAGAGAATTTTGTTTAGAATCAGTTTAATATGTTTTTACAGTGTACAAAACAAAAATGTCTTACCTGTTTTTCTTGAGAATTATCAAACGCCTCCATGCATTTTTGAAGTAATTTTATCCCTTTTCCTTATTTTTAAAGATGAACTTTAATTCGCAGTTCAGTCACATCTTTATCTTAGAAGACCTCAAATGTAGGATGGTGATTACCATCATGCTAGAGTTTGAATAAGTTCCCCTAAAGGGTTAAAAAATAAAAATAAAAATAACCATACACAAAAAGGCTGTACAGCATTTCCCAATGTTATTAAAATCAATAAAGCATTTTTCATTTCCTTTGCCAATGGACATGTGCCCCATTAGCTTCACAGTGATAAAACAACTAAAATGCATCAAAATAAATGTCTTTGGGGTGAAAGAACCTGCTGGTTCAAATATAGATTATAGGTATGGATAAGCAAATGTCTGGGACAAACAATCTCTGAATTTATAAACATTGTTTGGACTCTTTGGTTATTTTTGAGGTCAGAATATACTGTACTCTGTAATTAAGTACTCTTGTTGCTGATTTTTTTATCTGTTGACCAAACAAGAATATGTGAAGTATATTAAAAATCTACAAAGGCAAAAGTACAACAAATTAAGAGGTTTTAAGGGAAAATTTTCTTTTTTAAAGATTTTGCTACAGTGTTGTGTATTATGGCCATTCACAATGAGATATTGTCTCGATGGATTTAATATCTGTAAGGATGTAGTCTCTCTCGTGTACATGGATTTCGATGTTTCTGCTTCATGACTAAGTTGTTCACTGGCCAGTTGGGGAAAGTAGCTGAATTGTTAGCACCTAAAAAACATAATCAGCCTTTTAGCACAATATTACATTAATATTAGATCCTGATGATTTGAGAAAATAATAAAACCTGTACCTCTGTAAAAGATTTCCCTTTCAAAGCTCTGAACCTGCAGTCATGTGGGGTGGCAGATCATCATGGCGGTACTGTGATCTGAAGCCATTGACCATCCTTTGACCTGGCGTCCAGACTGGACCTGGAAGATGAGAATAAAAACGGTCCCTTTTAGAAAGCACTGGAGGATATTGTAGTTTTTAGGCATGTTTGGTTTTATTAATATTAACAAAACCAAACATGACTAAAAACTACAATATCCCCAGTGCTTTCTAAAAGTTGTACAATTAGTGGTTCAAAATGAGCCATTATGAGGATTATTACGTTGGTTGAGTGAATTTTCTCAAGAGTGGTTGATTGTTACCATTGTTGTAGTGGACGGCAGGCATCACGGGTGGATTAAAGCACCTCTGGTTCCTATACGGACCTGTTCAAAAAGGCATGTTTTGAATTACTTGGAAAGGGGGAAAAAAGGAATCTATGTGAACTTATACTATCAATCAAAAGTTTGGGGTTGGTAAGATTTTTTTAAAATGTTTCAATTACATACAAGCCCCCCTCCTCTCCTCTAATGGCTCTAATGTTAAGGGCCTTCTGTTGCTAACTGTCAGATAGCTTTCTTTCAAGAAAGTTATCTGTCTGTCACAGAACATGAGAAATTGAAGAGGTCATGGGCAGATAAAGTGTACTTTTCTTCTCATCCATTAGGGAAAAGGAAAGGAGTGTCTATCCTGATACAGAGACAGGCCAAATTTTATTTAGCAATGACCTATAAGGATACAGAGGGAAGATTCATTTAGGTAAATGGCTCTATAGACGGCACTGATGTCTCACTTATGAAAGTGTATGCACCAAATTATGATAGGCATGCTTTTATTAAAGTTCTCTTCTCAATGTAATTATACAGCATAGCTTTGGAGTATTATTAATTGGGGATTTTAATTGTATTATGTTGCAACATTTGAACAGACAGCCCATTTCTAACACCCCACTCTCCTAAATGAGTAAGAAGTTAAAGTACCAATCTTATAAATTTGGACTTGTACACGTGCGGAGAAGCAAATTTGCAAATTGTAGAGATTTTATGGTTTACTCCCATAGACTTGCATCTCATTGTAGGATATATTTTTTTTTCACTCCCAAGAATGAGCTTCATAGAATAGCTAACTTGAACATACTACTGATGACCGTGTTGGACAATTCACCTGTTGAACTGAAATAGGGCATAGAACTAAGCACAAACTTCCAAACAATGGAGACTAAATGCTTTGCTCCTCAACGATAAAGCATTCATTTCTTTCATCACAACAGAACTTAAAGGGATAGTTCTCATGTAGTTACAAACCCGTATAGGGGTGACCCCGAATAGTCGAAGATTCGATGCTTCGATAGGAGGAGCCTGATTCAACTACCAAACACATGGTCGAAACTTCACAGAGGTGTTATGAAACGAGGATCATGCCATTTTGGCTATATGAGGGTGCTCAATGTCTGATTTCACATAACGGTTTTCTGTCAATACGTTAATATAGGAGCCTATTATGATAATGCTGTAAATAAAAATGTGCAAAGAAAGAAGCTTTTAATATATATTTTTAACGTGCGTGAATAAATCCAGACACCCAGTGACAGACTTAAATTTCACTTTCGATCAGTGACCGACCGAGGAGCATCTTGGCGGCAGGGATTTAAATCTATAAAAATGTCTGGGATAAGAAAATCTAAAGTGTGGATGCACACCATCAGAAAGGATATTCCCCAAGGCTGGATTTAGCATCAGGAAAAACATGATTGCACTTCTGCCGACCAACGTTAACAAGTTGGTTTTCTATGGTAGGAAAATGCTTAACGTGTAATTAAAAGCGTTGCGTTTATATTCTGGGCTCATCTGCTTTTCTTTAGGCTATATATAGAGTATGCTTCATTAATAAGGTGTGTACAGAATTTGATCTTTTAATATAACGGTCTTAAGGACATTAAGCCGTTAAAACGTTTTAGAATGTATTTTACCCGCACACACAATTTGAAAAGACTCAAACGGACACAGGCAGAGTGAAAGACTGGATTTTTCTCTCAATCAGGAAGGGTACAAGTGATTTCAAAACATTTCAGCCGATTCTAATTCGATTTTTGGATGCTGTGAACATGTTAAGCTAAACTGCCACTCCAGTTTGGCGTTTATTGTCGTTTCTGCAGTTAAAAAGACAAAGTTGACAATTCTGGCTATACTTTCGTTATTTTTATAATTTCTTTATTTTTATTTAATTTATTGATCACTCAGGGTTATCTATTTGAACTATTTGTGGCTTGTGTTTTGAATATATGTTCCCCTGCACTTCAGGCATTTTGCAAACATTTGTTCTGCATCTTGTGACTTGATTCTGACTTATTTCGTTTTGTATTTTTATTTAGTAGAAACGTATATTCTGTTCTAATTTAATTCTGTAAATTAGTTGATTATTTTTCAGTGCATCGATGTTGCACTCTGTACTTAGAGCCTGCTCGCACAGGCAATATAGTGACTTAATTTGATTTGCATGTGAAATGCAAATCCTGTCAGCAGTTATTTGTTATTTCTTAGTTTTATTGATCCGAAATGTTTTTATACATTTTCTTCTATAATTGTGTGATGTTCTGTACATCGCGGCTTTAAAGTGGAAATTAAGCAGTCAGTCAAGTTTCCATTATTTAGAAAACTGATTTTCACTCTAATAAAAAAAAATATAAAGATGAAAATGGATTATTGAATAAAAATAAAAACGGTCACTTTAATAC